TAGAACAGGAAAGGACCTTGGAGCTTATCTTTTGCAGCTCTCTCATTTTCCAGATGAGGAAACTGAGGCCTGAAGAGTTTAAGTGACTTGTCTGAGTGGCCAAGGTGGAATTCAAACCCAAGTTGTCTGGCTTCAAAGCCAATGCTCTTTCCACTGTACCCAAATGTCTCCCTAAGTAACAAAGACAAGGGAGATGACAATCCTGCTATACTTCACACTGGTCAGATTATATCTAGTGTTTTTTTGTTTAGTTCATGGTTTCACATTTTAGGAATTATGGATAAGTTGGTTGGTACACAATGGGGAATAACGAGGATAGTGATACGTCTTAAGTTCATGCTTTATGAAGATTGATGGAAAAAACAGAGAACCCTTAGCCCCAGAGAAGTCAACATTTAGGATAGAATAAGATAGCTCTCTTTAAAAACTTGAAGGGCAACCACATGGAAGAAGGATTATAATTGTTCTGTTTGAGTTCAGAGAGAAGAACTGGGAGCAATGGGTAAAAGTGGCAAAGAAGCAAATTTAGGCTTGATATAAAGAGGAAAAACTTCCCAACAGAATTGTCCAGGAGTGAAATGGGCTTCCTCTTCTAGATCGGGCTTCCCCCTCACCATACCTGTAGCCTTCAAAGAAAGACAGAATGACCACATGTCCAATATCTGGTGCAAGGGTTGATTGGACTAGAGGTCCTTTGAGATTCCTTCCAACCCTTCCAATCCATGAGATTCTATGATTCTGTGAAGATATAATCTACAGGACTTGGCCACTCATTGGTTTGGGGTAGGGCAGAGTGAAAAATAGGAGAGTGGAAGATGACTCCAAGATCCGAGAAGACAGAAATAAAAAATTGAGGGAGAAGAGCAGTGTTGGGGGAAATATGAATTCAATTTTGGACTATTGAGTTTGAGATGCCTTTATGATACCATGATGGAGATTCCCTCAGCGGGCAGTTTTTGTTATATTATGTTATGGATATGCTTGTTTTATTCCATGAATCAAAAATAAAATAAATTATATATAAAAGAATTTTATAGCTGGAGCTCAGAGGATAACATAGAGTTGTGACAACGGAAAAGAACATTGGTTTTAGAGCCTAAAGACCAGGGTTTATATCTCACCCCTTTTACTTATTATCTGTGTAACTATGGGTAAGTCATTTCACCTCTCTGAGACTCAGTTTCCTCATGTGTAAAATGAGAGGTTTGGACCAGATGGTCCCTAAGGTCTCTTCCAGCTTAAAAATATGTTCCTATGAAAGTTGGGAGTCATCTGCACAATGGTGATTTTAAAAGGAGAGCTTACTGCCCTGGCCTTCTGGCTTTTAAGTCAAGCCCTATGAATCACTTTCCTGGAGCCTGATTACCCCCTAAGTGAATTGACAAAGCTGAGTCCTTTCAAAGCTAAGAACCAGCTTGACTCCATGGTAAAGCCGATAAGCTTTGCCTGTCTTCAGTATAGTCCCCCTCACCCCTGAAGACAAAAAGGAGAGAGCTCCTAAGACATTCTCAGCCTCTTCTTCTCCTCAGGATGCCTCTCTTCCCCATAACAAAATAACAGTGGGGTAGATATTTCAATAGAAAGAATAAGGTGTGTGTGTGTGTGTGTGTGTGTGTGTGTGTGTGTGTGTAGTGTAGTTTCATTGAATTTCAGAGCATGTGGTGAGTGAAGCATTCTCAACATTTAAGTGAGCCAAAAGTTAGAATTTCTGAAAAGACACCATTCTCTAAAACAAACAAGAGAAGACTATTAAATGACTAAGGCTTGTGGGTAACTTGATTTGTAGATTCTTCATTTTATCATTTAGCACGAGCCTTTACTATAACCCAGTGATGCAATCACAGACACACAACTGCCCATGTGTAACCACAGGCATCCATGGTAACTGGAAATTCTGGGGCTTCTGAGAACATGGGAATAGCTGAAGGGACCTTATTTGCAGACTTAAGGCTCAATGATACTGCTGTATTCTTATTCAAAGAAACTGATGATTATCTTTCCCTTACAACTTCCCCTCAATTCTCCCTACCATGAAACAGACATCAGCATGCCTGGTGAAGTCACTGGCAGGGAATTAGGATTCACTTCAACTTTGGAAGAGAATTAACTTGTGTGATCACTGTTTAAGGCAAAACAAAATTTGGCAGGATGGATTATTCCTAAGGGTTTGAGTGTGGAGGAGAGGAAACTGAAGTGACATTTCCCAGTGGGAGAGCATAAGGGTTGTCATCTGTCCGTTCGGTCCCTATGAGCCCATGTCAGTTAGAGGACTTTTCAAATGTTCAAACTGAGTAGGGTAAAGGTGGGGAGGCGGGGTCGGGGAAGGAAGATAAGAGCATAGCTCCTGGACCAAACTAGCTTCTCTACTTTGCCTCTAAATCCTCTCAGGACCCCTGGAGGGGCCGGAATCAACCTGTCTCTCTGATGGCCCTTTATATCCTCAAGGCTGTCTTGGGACTAGAGCAGACCTCCCAGGGAAACTCAAGCATCATAAGGCCTATTATTCTTGTATTTGGTCTTGAACTTTAGGGGCTATAGAGTAAGGTCCCAGAGCCCCAAAAGCCCAAGATTCACAAGAAGGATATATCTGTTACACCATGTGGCATATCCACAATTTGAAGGTTCACCCAGATATACTGTAATATTCTGATATTCTTTGAAAGACCCTAACACATCACCAAACACAGCTGTGTTGCTTAGATGCTTCCATAAACAGATGGATGTCCAAGTTAATGTCATATCAGGACAATAAGCATTTATGAAGCACCTACTGTGTGCTAGGCACGATGAAAAGTGCTGGGGATTTAAAGAAAGGCAACAAACTGATTCCTGCTCTTTAAGGAGCTTACAGTCTAATGGAAGAGAAAAAACCCCACATTAAATAAACAAACAAATAAGACAGCAACATGCAGACAACTATGTACAAACAAAATATAAGCAGGATAAAATATACATAATTAACAGAGGAAAGGCACTAGCATTAAAGAGGGTCAGGAAAAGTTTTTACAGAAGGCGTGATTTTAACTGGGGCTTAAAGGAAGCTAGGGAATGGAGATGAGGAGGGAGAGAATTCCAGGCATGGGGAGAGCCAGTCAAAATGCTTAGAATCAGGAGATGGAGTATCTCGTGTGGGGAACCACAAGGAGCCAAGTGTCACTGGGTCACAAAGTTGGGCAGAAGACTAGAAAGGTAATAATGTCTCCAAAAGTCAAAAGTCAACTTCAAGATTTACATATACAAAGAGTTTTGCAGACATTGATACATTTGATCTTCACAACAACTGTGTAAAACTGTGGACATCTTATTATCCCTATTGTACAGATGAGGAAACTGAGCCTCTGAAAGTTTAAAGGGTTACAACAGCAATTAAGCGATAAGCCCCAAACTCAAGTCTTCTGACTGCAAGTCCAGCATTATTTACACCATACCTCAATGCTTTTTTTGTGTATTCAGTTTGAGTAAAGACCATAGATAACTGAGGCATAGCATCATAGAGCTGGAAGAAACCTCAGAGAGCATCTAGTCCAATGTCATCATTAAATAGATGAGGAAAATGAGAAAGGTCTAGAGGGATGAAATGGTCAAGCCAAAGGCACAATTGTAATGGAGAGAAGCCTAGAACCCCTGCTTCCTGCTCCAGGATGATCTCCACTACTCTGTAACCTCTTGTTGCCATATTGCTCTGCCTCCTCTGTAGGAGATTATTATAACTCCAGCCCAGTAATAACAGTGACAGCTATATGTCAAGATCAGCACATAGTCAGAGTCACTCAACTCCTGGTCCTACTTTTATAGTGCTTTTAACTTACATAGTACTTTGAGATTTGTAAATGAGGAAGCTAGATGGCACAGGGCTAGAATGCAGGACCTGGAGACAGGAAGATTTGAGCTCAAATCTGGCTTCAGACATTTACTGGCAAGTTAATTGGCCACTGCCTGTCTCGGTTTCCTCATCTGTAAAATGTACAATTTACCTCCTATGGTTGTTGTGTGGATTGAATGAGATAAGATGTGTAAAGTACTTTGCAAATCTCCAATTATCATAGGATGCTAGCTAGTATTACTATAAATTGGCTTACAGACCTCTCATTTGAACCTCACAATGATCCTATGAAGTATGTGCTATAGGTATTATTGTCTCAATTTTAAAGTTCATGGATATTAAAGTGGAGATATATTGAACCCCTTCATTAATTCATCCAACAAGCATTTTTAAAGCACCTACTAAGTGCCAGCCACTAGGTTAGGTGAATACAAGAGAAAAATGAAAGTGTTCCTACCTTCAAAGAGCTCAAATTACAACTAAACTACATAGTAAGTGGGTCCCTTTACCTCTGGACCTCAGCTTCCTTATTTACAAAATAATATGGTTAGACTAAGGGCAGCTAAGTGGCACAGGGGGTAGAGCGCCGGGAAGACCTGTGTTCAAATTTGGATTCAGACACTTAGGATCTGTGTGATCCTGGGCAAGTCACTCAACCTTGTTTGCCTCAGTTTCCTTGTCTGTAAAATAAGCTGGAGAAGGAAATGACAAACCACTCCCATACCTTTGCCAAGAAAACCCTAAAAGGGGTCATAAAGATTGGAACATGACTGAAACAACTGAACAACAACAATAAGATGGTCAGACTAACTAGACTTTAAAGTTGCTTCAGCTCGCTCAGTTCTGTGTGGGGTGATCTCATCAGGCAGACGTGCTCGCTGGAATTGTTCTATCTCACAGTTGTAAATACTGCAGTTGGTTTTGTTCTGTTGTTGGAATCCCAGAGCTGGCTGTTGCTGCACTGTAATATTTAAGAACTGTTATTGGGATATGCCTAATTGAAGCTGATCATATCCTTTTGATCAGGGGGTAGGGGTGGGGGGAGAAGGGAAAGGACAAAGCAACATGTGAACTTAATAAAACTGTGTTCTCTGATGAATTTTTGGTGAGGGAGGGAAAACAATCAATTCAAAGCTTCTTTCATTAAAAGAAAAAAAATTTTAACTGTTATTTTTAGGCAACAGCTTGCCCAGAGCTCTCCCAAGGAGTCTGATGTTCTCCCCCTGCAAATAAACAAGGTAACTGAAAGTTTGGATGCCCCAAGTCAGGGGAGTCTCATTTCAGAGACTGGTCTGAAGGATGCCTGGATCTATCTATTCAGTCCAGCTATCCCCACATGAAACTGTTAGTGAGGTTTTGAAGTCTTTGAGACAAAAAAGCCAGCTTACTAAAGAACTCTAGTTCAGCAGAAAGACAGGGAGGTACAGTGAACACAAGAATCAAAAGGCTGGAAATTTGCTGCTGAGAATAAATGCGAGCTGCTCCCTGAGGTGATTTGTCTGCGCACTTCACTTTCTACAGATGTTAGAGCCTCTTTCTGAGTGAGGACCCGAGGTTCTCTGGTAGCACTTTGATATCCTGCTCGAATTCAATATGTGAAATGGGGGAGTCGCTCTGTGACTTGGAGCACACAGCCAGCTTTGAAGTCTGATCCAATTTTGGCTGCTCAGTATTTGATGTTGAAAGGATGAAATGAAGAAAATGTACAGTTTTTGCCAGTAACTCTGCTGAGCATATGTAAGATTAAAAAAACAAAATCCTTTGGATGATGTACTTAGAAATGTTAAGTAGATTAATACCTTCCTATAGGCCAGTGGGGCTTCCCCCCACCCTTTCCCTTGCTTATAGATACAAATGGAGTGTAAGAGAAAAATAAGCATGTAGCTGTTTTTTAAAGATTATGGTCTAGAATGAACTTGGGAGAATATGAAGGTCTACAAGTTCAGGAGAAGAAAAAGGAAAGAAAGAAAGAAAGAAAGAAAGAAAGAAAGAAAGAAAGAAAGAAAGAAAGAAAGAAAGAAAGAAAGAAAGAAAAAGAGAGAGAGAGAGAGAGAGAGAGAGAGAGAAAGAAAGAAAGAAAGAAAGAAAGAAAGAAAGAAAGAAAGAAAGAAAGAAAGAAAGAAGACAAGAGAAAGAGAAAGAAAGAAGACAAGAGAAAGAGAGAAAGAAAGAGAGAAAGAGAGAAAGAAAGAGAAAGAAAGAAAGAAAGGAGAGAAAAGAAAGAGAGAAAGAGAGAAAGAAAGAGAAAGAAAGAGAGAAAGAGAGAAAGAAAGAAAGAAAGAAGGAAAGAAAGAAAGAAAGAAAACAAGAGAAAGAGAGAAAGAAAGAGAGAAAGAGAGAAAGAGAGAAAGAGAGAAAGAGAGAAAGAGAGAAAGAAGAAAAAAGAGAGAAAGAGAGAAAGAAAGAGAGAAAGAAAGAGAAAGAGAGAAAGAAAGAGAGAAAGAAAGAAAGAAAGAGAGAGAGAGAAAGAAAGACAGAAAGGAAAGAAAGAAAGAAAGAAAGAAAGAAAGAAAGAAAGAAAGAAAGAAAGAAAGAAAGAAAGAAAGAAAGAAAGAAAGGAGAGAAAAGAAAGAGAGAAAGAGAGAAAGAAAGAGAGAAAGAGAGAAAGAGAAAGAAAGAAGAAGGGAAGGAGGGAAGAAGGAAGGAAGGAGGGAAGGAAGAAGGGAGAAAGAAAGAATGTTAACAAGACACAGGTGACTGGTTTCAGTCACCAATAGCCCCAAGTATGACCCCACTTCATTCCAGTAGAGGGTTGAAATGTTAGACAAAGTGAATCACATTGGCTTTGCTTCTTCCTTTACAACCAGGGTTAAGGGCTATCTTAGTTAAATGGGAATAGCATTTTCTAGGTTCCTTATTCACAGTGTACAAATAGTTTCTTTCCCCAATTGGTTTCTTCTGAAGCATGCAGTCTCCAGGAGTGATTCACTACAGTCTACTCGGGTGTCTGTTGGTTCTCCGGATCTTCGATTCTCAAGTCCTAGGGAAGACTCACAAAAGCCAGGTAAGAAGTGCCCTGAGAAATAAGGTTACTGCTCTCAGTATTAACAAGCTATATGTTGCCTGTGCTATTTGTAAGTTTATTTATTGACGAGTCATTTCCAGCAGCCGTCTCCTGAAGACAGGAAGCAATCGGTGAGGAAAGGAATTGATTGTAGACACCCTCTCTACAGACATGAAGGTCAGGTTTGTTGGAAATAGGAGCAAAGGGTTCAAGTGTCAGAATCAGAACGGCAGGAAAGGAAACCTGAATCAAGGGATACAAACAACTCTCTACACTCTGTAAAAGGGAACTTTCCTTCTAAGCGATGAAAATGTGTGTTGCAAACTCTATTTCTCCCTGCAGTTGCAAGCCCCCTGCACAAGGAAGCAGCTTCAAAACTTCCTCCATCTTATAAAAAGAAAGACAGACAGACAGATGGCTGGCTTGCATTGTAGCAAATTTGTTCAGCCAAACAGAAAAATCCGGAATCTGGGCATTGATATGGTGCAGCTCCTCGAGGGCAGAGACTGTCTTTTGTATTTCTTTGTATCCTCAGTGCTTAGCATAGTGACTGGCACATAGCAGATGTTTAATAGAGGCTTATTGACTAACTGACTGCATCTGTGTTGGGAGTGATTCTATCCTTCTTGCTAACATTGTCATTTTTTAACCCAGTAGGATCAGTCCTATCTTTTTGCCTTCTATGAAGTGGTCACTCCTGGCACTTTTTTTTTTCCTAAATTCCATTCTACAAAGTGTGATAAAAAGTTAATTTTCATCATATGTATATGACTATGATTTACAATTACGTAAGTGCCCAAACTGATTATGAGGAATATTTATGAACCAAAAGAAAATGCCAAATAGAGTATGTGAGTGTTTAGGCTACTTCAAGGGAAGAAACCTTTTCAAATTGAAAGCCTTGGTGGTAACCTCTGATGCGTGATCTCTTTCTCTGACATAGGCACATGGTTCTCAGCCCATACCTGACACGTTGGTATCATTTTCTTGTTCTGCAGCCTATTTGTCAGTGACAAGAGAGAATCTTTGTAGAAACGTTGTACAGAATAGGAAATTCATTATAAATTTAATATGACCTTCAGTCCATATGGAGCTCGAATTCTTGGAGAGAGACCAGAGAGGGTGTGCCCATCAAAGCAGAACTCTTTTAAATAGATATATGTTAAACAGTAAACCTGTCAAGGAGAAATATTTTCCATGCCCCAAGCCAGTGTTTAGGGATGGGTTAAGGAGACACTGGGGAGAAGGGGGGCGCAAGAGGAGGGAGCAATGTGATAATTTTGGTTCCTAGAGTGATTCAGTAAAACTATACATTAAAGCATTGGCAATTATTGTTGTTCAGTCATTTCAGTAGGTCCAACTCTTTGTCACTCTGTTTGCGGTTTCCTTGGCAAAGACCCTACAGTGGTTTGCCACTTCTTTCTCCAGCTCATTTGACAGGTGAGGAAACTGAGGCAAACAGGATTAAGTCACTTGCCCAGGATCACACTGCTGGTAAGTATCTGAGACCAGATTTGAACTCAGGAAGATTCATCTTCCTGACTCCAGGCCCAGTGCTCTATCCACTGCTCCACCTTGCTGCCTCTAAACAGCAAGTGGGAGCTGAGATGGAGGAGGGGAAAAACAGGAAGAAAGGAGGGAGGAGATAAGAAGCAAAAGAATGCTTGCTTTTCAGTATATGTAAATGTAATATTGGTTTGTTCAACAGAAGAATTTAACAAGATAAACTAACAGAGAAGCAAACCCAGGAAAACAAAAATATCATCATAAAACATGGTTTTCAGGAGAAAAAAATAAAATATCTCATACTTTAAATGAATAACTAATAAGGAAACCATTTCTTCTATAAAAGGAAGCCAAAACTTTTGAACATTCCAAATTATTCACATACTTGGTTGCTATTCATTTTAAGTATACATTTTTGAATTCCCAGTGCCATAGAAATTGTAATAGAAGCAAGAATGCAATGAAACAGCAAGTAAGCACCATTTAAGTGACAGCTCATTTTAAATGCACTTGTGATAGTCTTGAATGGAAAAACAAATCAATTAGAACTCCTCTACTCTCACTTCTAATAGGTGCAGCATGCTAGTAGAAAAAGTTAGCATGACTTGTTTTTTGGAGGCAAACATGAATGTTTATCATTGCACACTTTCCAACCAACTGTCCCCTTTTGGATGATGTTCTTCCCCACCAATGGCCTGTGTTTGATCTGAACTCAATTTTTCATGGAACCTGGTGTCTAGTCCTTTTCTAATCTGTTCATAGTCACATGGAAAAAATGTACGTTGGCACTTTCCACTTCAAAAACACGAACATACAAAAATGTGTTCTCATATGTGGTGAAAAAAATGACTTCATCAAAGCCTATGTGCTTTATTAAGCAAAGGTGGGAAAGAAATATTAATTAAGATGATTAAATCATGACAACTATCTTGAGCATACTGTCAGGAGATCTAAAATGAAATGAAATGAAAGTATTGTACTAGGTGATCTCCATGATCCTGGCTTTAACATTTATATCTCAGTGAAACACTACTGCCTTACGAGTGTGATTATTGAGAGTTGATTCATTTTCCATATCCTAATAGGAAGAGATTGCATATAACAGGTAAAGGATATTCAGAAAGCACAGGACTTTGCTTCCTTATCTAAAGCATTTAATTTGTGCTGCACCAATAGAAAAGTCTGGAGTTCTGACTGACTGTTTTTGCCACAGTAAAGCATTCTTTTAACCTTATACACTTGGGAAATCAACTGGCCAACATAAGTGACATTTCCCAGATAACCTAAAAATCTCTTTAAACTGCACAGTTTTTTCTATTTTACTTATTTAGAAACTCTCCTATGTATCTTCTTAAAGATCTCTGAACATAAGTTAAGCATTTTCTTGATATCATCATGAACATCAGGTGTTGTAACAGGAGTAGACTTCCAGAAACTATGAATGACTGACTGAATAAATGAATGAACAAATGAACGAATGAATGAATGAAAAAGAAATGATTAAGTGCTATAAGGATGTATGTATATTAGCTTTACTATGTTCTATAGAGAATAATGGGCAGCTATGTGGTGCCATAGTGCACAGAGAACCAGGCCTGAAGTCAGACAGACTCTTCCTGAGTTCAAATCTAGCCTCAGACACTTATTAGTTATGTAACTCTAGGCAAGTCACTTAACCCTGTTTGCCTTAGTTTCCTCATTTGTAAAATGAGCTGCAGAAGGAAATGACAAACCTCTCTAGTATCTCTACCAAGAAAACTCTAGATTGGGTCATGCAGAACTGGACACAACTGAAATGACTCAACAACATTATAGAGAATAATACCGTACTGTATAGAATGAGGACCCGTTCTTAACTCTAAAAATTTTCACAGACTCCACACATGATAGTAAATATGCTATTTATGTCTGTTAATTGAAAAGCTTTTAAGTGAATTTATACTTTATTTATCAAAACAACATCTAAAAAATAGTGTGGATTAGTGGAAAGAGGGCTAGTCTTAGGATCAATATGACTTAAGTTTAAGCATTGCCTCTGACATATGCCAGCTCTGTGACCAGGGATAAGTTACTTAACTTCTCAGTACCTCAGGCAACTCTCTAAGACTATAAGTGTATATTCTGATCTGCATTGGTGGAAAGAGTTTTCATATCATGAGTCATCTACACAGATGAAATCATAGGTCTGATTCTCTACCCACACTCACCCCTGAAAGAGAGAGCAACAGAGAATGAAAGAAAGAAAAAGAAAGAAGAAAGAGGAAAGAAGAGAGAGAAGAAAGAAAAAGAAAGAAAAAAGATTAATACATAATTTTGAAAAAAAAATAGTAAAACATAAGTATGAGACATCATTGTCTGGAAAAAAAAAGCTTGCATATATGTTATACTGAGTCACATTCAGTATTTTATTGAAGCTTACTGAAGATTAAAAGGACAATCCTTGATATACACATGAATTTCTGGATTTTCGGCAATTACTCTACATCTCCTGCAAGGGTCTGCAGTCCATAGTCTAGGAACTACTGCTGCCCTGTTAGAAAGAAGGCAACATGGTTCAGTGGAAAATATACTGGATTTGAAGTCAGAGGATTTGAATTCGTATCCTGGCTCTACCACTTACTACATAGATGATCTGATCTGGATCAGTCATTTAATTTCTCTGGACTTCAGTTTCCTTACCTGCAAAATGAGAGAATTGCACCCGATGATTTCTGAATTCTCTTCTAGCTCTAAACTTGTGATCCCATGATAACCTTTCAAGAGCCTTAATTCTTCCTGACCATCCAGTACAAACTTGACAGAACTGTAAGCAAGGGCTATTGAGATGGTGATTAATTACAGTCTATGCTGTGCCTTCTTACATTGATCTGATTTTAGTATTTTTTTTTTCTTACACAAGACAGGTCTTCTCAGCAAACCTCAGGTACGTAGAGTTCATGACTGTTTTTAAGGTACACATTGTATTATCCTCCTGTGCCTTTCATGGTGCACATTACTGGTTCTCCTTATCTTGGCTGTAATTCAACAACCAGAAAGAAAACACCAGGGTGGATTTTTCTCCTTGGCCCTCATAGTACTGGAACTTGAGCTCAATCTGGACAAGAACTATTACAAAAATAGAAAGCTACAACAGGCAAAACAAGCCATTAGGTCAATGCAACAGAGCCCCCCAAAGCTGGCAAAGGCCAATTGGAAAGGATTGAAGTACTTTGCCAAACTGCAACCACCCTTATCATAACGAGCTCAGATGTCATCCATTTGGAGATAAATGTTTACACAATGGAGTCTCAAACAAAGTCCAAATAATCTCTCTGGGAATCACATGGAAACCAGACTGCACTCTTGAAAGCTTGGCTACTGCTCCTTTGAGGTCCCTCCCAAATTTCATTACCAAATGTCACATACAATGCTGGGTAAGCCACTCACTCTTAATTTCAGGGCCGTCTTTAGGATTCTGAATCCTTGCTGTTTTTAGCTCCCTGGTTGTTGATGCT